CATTATATATATACAAGAATTATACGAGTACATTTGAAATACTTTTTGACAAAATATATACCGTGCATAATACCGTGCCGTTCTATCTAGTTATTCAATTAAGGAGATTCATTTACCTGTGTACAGTAATTTTCGTCGTTCATATTCATCTACAGGAATCGCTGGCGTACTGAAAATATCAGTGTTTGCTTTCAGTTTACTTGTTTGCAATGAGGCTCTTCTTTTAACCAAATTGGTTAAAACCCGACACGATCCCTACAGACAAACACAGCACTAATCAGTATTCTATGGCCCTGCACAGCACAAGTATGGTTACAAATGTCCAATRTTGTCCGCATTTGGTGTCCGCTTAAACTGACCCGAATTCTCATCGCATTTCAGTAATTATATCCCATCTATATCCATATATTTTACGGTACTTACCGATTTAATAATGTATATCCATTCCGTTTTGCTATTTTTTACGATGACCACGCCCCGTCTGTATTTAAAGAAACAAGAAATAATTCTACAAATGACTTTTACTCTTGATTCTCAGACTATCATATTATCATAGATGCATATAACAAGGTGGCTAYTTGTCATAGTACATGTTTTAAAAGGCTTACCTAAAATAGTGAAAGATACAAATATCAGGTCTTGTACTGCACTGGTCTAAAGGAAGATCTTTAATGTATGGTATATTCCTATATCACACAACAGACTAATGTGAGTTAGGTTATAATGGAGACTCTTCTTGGAAGGTAGTCAAATTAGCTTCATGCGACTAGGGTAGCGCATAGCTATGACCAAGAAAATGATTTTAAGTGAGACATAACAATTGTTTATCGGTCAAGGATAGTTTTTATACCTTAAAAACTGAATATGTTCTGTTTCCTTGCCATCCTCGTAACTCATAAAGATATCCCTGAAATCCTGATAAAATATAAACAGTATATGATTGTCTAATACAAGGTTAGAGGATCTTCAAGGAGTAAAACTGTAAGATTTGTTTGCCATTGAGATTTGGAAATGGTACTGATACCATGCACTGGAATGGAATTTAGAAAGTGAGAATATTTCAAGATGGCGTAGGGAACCGTGACCGAGACTATTCTGGAAGAATCTAGTACTTGATGTCTGCAGTTGCTCATTACCTCTCGTCCAACAGCAAGAAGAGCAACTTCATTTCTACATAAAACCGTCGCACTGCGCGTCTTGTGATGGAGCAGCGCAAGTTCCTTGAAGAAAATACAAATAAATCATCGGTAAAACAACAGCTTACAAAGAATGCAAACAAACCGATACGTGAAGTGTTATATTCTATGGAATTGTTTGTACTTCCATTATTATACGCAACTACTATCAAAAAGGGTAAGAAAATTTTAATACGTTTAGCAACAAACAAGAATTTCTGCAAACCAAGCAATAGATTTTGCAACGAGAAGTATAGATCTACAATACTTACCCCAAAACTGCATCCTTTGCCTAGGACCGCTACAGTAGTTGTCCTTTCTTCTCCTGTAGCTAAATCATTCACCAAGAGAGTTACCAGGGCTGCAAGATGGATGATTTGCTCTTAGACGTAATGCTATAACTCATGTAGGACAGGCACGGCTCATGCCATAATTGAGCATGCGCAATGGTTTATGAACAATCCATCAAGCCCATAGTATTTTGAGTAAGAGCTACTGCTAGCCTTCATTTATCAATTGATGTTCATTTACAGAAGAAATCTTTTGCTCTAAGCTCGTTTCGAACTGAAAAAATCACTTCATCTCAAAATCCTTGATGAAAGTATTATAGCTCAGAATTTCAACTATTTTCTATTACGTACAACATAATAATGTTAGTTGGGGTGGTATGATTCTGCGTTTTACCTGTTCCTGATAGTATAAAGTAAAAATTTTCAGCTCGATGACCTTGTCTTATTATAACTCGTTTAGCTTCGAAACTGAAACAAAAAACATTGTTATTTCGCGTGTTTTGGTTTGATTGATGGCGATGAAATAAGTGATATTTGAGCAACACACAACACAAACAAGCAAACGATAGGTTTAAATCAGGACGATATTAAGTTGTTAGATCTCTCTCTCAAGCCACTACCCTAGACTGTTTATTAATCTGATATGAGTGCGTCAGTCTTACCTCTCATACCATCCAACACTAACAAGTCTACGTTGCATTTTAAGAGGATATTCACCAAAAGCTGCTACACTAGCCTTCAAGCCTGCCAAAGCCTGAAACAGATGCAATCCTCATTGGTTAAAAGTCGTCTTTATGCCGTTCTTACTGGACACTGATTTACAAT